TCGGCCGTACTCCACCATCCACGTGTTTGGTCCCCACTCCACAGCCGTTGCCTCTCCAGGTCCGTGTACAACTGTCTCTCCTTGGGGTTAGACAAGAAGCATGTCGTGAGAAGCCCAGGGATGCCCTTCTATAACTGCGTTTCCCTAGCCTTTGCACTATCTTTGCAGAGGTGGAGAATGAAAACACAGTTTCAAGAAAGGAAGAAACTCCACCCCATTGGTCTGGCTGCCAATCAGAGGGGAAATAGAGACCAAAACGCCCACTCCTAAATATCCTATGACATCGCCTGGCCCATGTCCTCTCTTGGGGGAGACTATGGAGGGCAACCCCCACCCAGCTACAGTCTAATATATGGAAGCAATGGGCACCTGCATTCTCATGTTTCACTCGTATCAAGTGGAAATGTTGCTAACCGAGCTGGGCTAGTATGACAGCTACAAGGCTTGCCAGGCTTTTCTGACGATTATCCTTACACCACCAAGTCCAAACTTTTTCTTTTAAATGGATGCAGAGGTCCAATTAAAAAACAATAGGCGTGCTGGTTGGTGGTGGCACATGCTTTTATTTTATTTTATTTATTTTTTTGGTTTTTCGAGACAGGGTTTCTCTGTGTAGCTTTGGAGAAAAAAAAAAAAAAAAAAGGTTGAAAAACAACAACAAAACTCCCAAACTGTCTCACTAGTTTAAAAAGGATGGGAAATGAAATGTCTGTCTTAACTTTCAGGTATGATTATCTACCAAACAATTGCTGGAATAATGGCTGTGTAAGTCAGGCTGATAAAAATCAGCCCCCTATGATGGGAAACTGCCGTGTTTTGTTTCCCTTTAACAAATGAAAGCGAAAGAGTTCCTCAGCTCCAACCTAACCAAACACCTGTGGTTTAGGGGACAGAAGGAAATCACTGGGTAGGCCTTTTTGATAGGCTCTTTCCTTGCCTTAGGCCTGTCCCCAGCTAGAGGGCGCCCACTCGGACATAACTTCCTTACTCACCTGGGTAGAAGACTTCACTTTTCGTGGTGCCCTCTCTCCACTGGTGGAAAGTGCCAGAGATGATGGTGTCAGAAATCTCAGCCCAATATCGCCCTGAGTGACAATAAAACAGACACCGCCCATCAGAGTATCCTTGTCAACACACGGCCCAACCAAACCTCAGAATG